GTTGTGCATCAAAACATTTTCGGTGCAGGCTGAACTGTACCAAACTTTCCAGTTTCCACAAAGCTTGCTGCAAGGCTAAGCAGATAAGCAATCGTTGTCTCGTAATCAGTGATCTGATTCTACCTGATTTAAATGAAAAGAAAAGCAAGGTTGCTTGTTCTAAGAAAAAAATAATGATTTTGAGATCCAGGCTTTTTTTTTTTCATATTCTATTTGTAAAAATATAGTTCTATTTTCTGACTATTTAAACCTTATTCCCTGTAATTGAGCGACTTTGAATGATGGCCCTGTCTTCCTTTCTTCACTGCACTCTGATTTGTTGTTTGGTTGACCTGGTCAGTGGCCTGAGGGCTTCCACTGAACATAGGCTGTACAGGTGTGAGCAACACATCTCTGTCAGTGACCCTGTGTGTTAGAGACATTGCTTTCTGCTAATAATTAACCTCTGAAACAAGCCATACAGGTGAGATCAGTCAGGTAATGAAGACTTTAAATATTGTGTGTGTGTGCCTCCACACGTGTGTGTCCCCTAATGATCTCTTTGCCTCTGGCCGTTGCAGTTTTCCCTTTGAGGAACTGCCCTGGCCTGTGTTTTAGTGCAGCTAATAGCTGTGCACTGGGGGACTTTGTCATTTCCTACAAGAGCCCATTGCGTGTCCTTTGATAGTGTGTGAAGATTAGAACTCACCTTCGCTGCTTTGAAATACCACTCTCCTTTGAACCTCTTGCCTAGCTTGGGTTTGACTGTAATGTCATCCCACATGCTTGTTCAGTGACGACAGTTTTGTTAGTTTGTTTTGTCACGAAACATGTTTGTTGAGAACATGAAGGTAACTCTCACTGACCGTACAGTTAAAGACTGGTGCAGGTTTTAGTGCATAAGACAAAAGGTAACATTTATTCATGCTGAACTTGCACAAACTCTCAATTCTAGTTGACTTTATGTTAGTTTATAACTAACAAATTCAAGTTATACAAAGTAAATGCTTAATGTGACCAATAACATTGTTAGACTGAGGCTCAGTGCCAATTTTAGAAAAAAAGAAAATAAACACTGTAGAACTGGTGTTTTGTTTAATTTGTCGACCAATCAAACAATATTGCTTCCCACAACTTTGACTTGGTGTGAAGGAATATTGCCCATCTAGATCTAGCTTCTTTTGTTGAAAGAAACATTTTAAAAAGTTGATCTTTGGGAGTTGTCAATCAAATAAGAATCTAATAAGAGAATACGCTTTCATTTAGCAATATTAATAATAGTATAACTCTCAAAGAAGGTAGGGAACATTTTACTGCACAATGTGTACTTCACTTCCGAAAGGTTTCGAATGCGGGACTTGTGATTATTTTCACAGTAGTACTACTTTACCTACGTAAATAATCTGATTTATTTTAATTTTTTCAACAAATGTCTAAGTCATAAATGTTTTTGAGGAATTGCTTCCATATCTCCTGTATCCCTGTGGATGTCTCTTTCTGCGGAGACGTTTTTCTTTGGCTTTAGCCCAAAATTGCCTTTGACCCTGGCCCTATGGCGGCCCTCAGCCATTCATAATGGAACCCCAAAGTGTCTTATGAATGACATTCTTCTGGACTTTCCTGCTCCTTTCTCTATACCTTCCACCGCAATGCTGAGAATAATACCCGAACATCCTTGATCTTTTCACACAAGGCGGCAGACAGAGGATTTTCCCGCAGTAAGAATCATTTAAGTGATCCCTTTTCCAATGGTAGGGGTTTTTGGGGTTGAAGATTGGATTGAAGATTGGAGGCGGGGGGTGTCACAGTCAGATAATGACATTCCTGAGACCCAGAGATGGACTCTAGAGCCCCATTTAAGCCGCTCAGGTTGAACTGGATAGGTCTGTGTATAGACTTGGCAGTTTGGTAAATCTAGATAGCTTTGCGTGAGATTTTCCGAGAGGTATGACAATATTAAGGCTACTCCAAGACGGCGAACACAATGTTAGTCAGGAAGCCGTATTTAGGCTTATACGTGCTTCAAATTTTAATTAAAGGATGTTGAAATTGATCCTTGAAAGTAAAAGAAATGCACAGGGCCTAATTTTACAATAGTATTTACACTGGTCAAATTGTTTTTCTTCAGATTTGGCAAATGGTAAAACTAGATTTTGTCCATGATGTCGAGTTACTTGCTAACAGTTTTGACTTCCTCATATTTCTTGTGTTTCCTACTCAGACTGGCAATCTTGTTTCTCCTCAGTGAGTGGAAGTAAAACAAAGCCCTGTCTGGTGCACTAATCCAAGAAACTTTGGATGATCAGGACTGCATCCTTTGCCTATTAAAGCTGATAATGTATGCTGACATTATCTCAAAAGAAGACAAAATAGCTTTGTGGTTTAAAACATTTGAAAGCAAATAACCCTTGCGCCATTTTTTTTTAATCCGCCTTTGTCTTCTTTATCCCTCCTATTAACCGCACTTATCTACATTTTAAGTTTAAGCATTTGAAATATTTGTGAGGAAAATTGATGGCCCTACTTTAAATTGCAAACCAATGTACATCAAGTGTATTATGTCTCTGATTTAACAGTTGTGATAACAGAGGGTAAAGAGAATAACAGTTATTGGATTTAACCATTTAGTGGCTGTGATATGACAGAGTTAAAGCCATGATCTCTGCCGTTGCTCGATGTTTGGCATCGAAGTAAATTGAGCTGAGGTAATTCCTTGCTGAAAGTGACTGTCATCATTCACTTACAACCGCTGCTGTTTACGCAAAGAACACAAACACACAGCTGGCTGACAGAGTGGCTTAAGCTGCTCTGAAAATAGTTTATCAGTTAAGCCACACGGGCTTAATACAATATTAGACGAGACTTTTATAAACAACGCTTATGTCATAGTCCTCAGCAAGTTCTCAGATATTCTTTGATTTTTAAATGCAGGTTAAAAGGTGAATAACAGCAATACGTCCAAAAAACAGATATCTTTTTCATTCCCTAACCAAACAGGCTGTATGGTGTTGTCAGATAATTGGACAGAGACCTGTGGATTATGTAGGGATGCTGTCATAAATTCTCGCAAACTTTGTTGTTTAAAGCTGCCATTTCCCCAGCATTCTTGCATTTCAAGGAGGCAATTTACTGCTCAGTCGCGCCTTTTCCAAACCCACCTCATTAGCTTTCTGTGTCTTTCTACTACACCTCATTTTCCTCCACGCATATGTGCATATCAGCGGAGTTATTTATGCTCTGTTTTGTTTTCAACACCCCATCTTGTTAAAGCAAAGCTGCCAGGCATAAAGCAGTCAAAAGTGCTCTTCCCTCCAACCCGTCCCACCTTGGCTGGAGAATTTATGGCCAAGTCCTCGCCCCTGAGACAGAAGCTGAGAGGAGCCTGCTCGGGCCCTGGCTGGCTGAAACTCGGCACCCTGTTGTTTGACGCAACATGTTATTTTGTCTCTTTTCGGACACCGCAGGGTGACGCCACTGACAGCGCTGTTTGACATCAATTCCTCAGCACCTGCCCAGTCACCTGGAGCTACGGCTACTGCTTTTCATCCCTCCACCCTTACAGTAACCCATTCCATGGCCTACACTTCAAAATCCTCTACCCAAATCAAAGGTGGTGCGCTTTGTTGAGGTTCGAACATTACACCAGTGTCATGTAAGCTCCTTGAACAGAACAGCTGCAGGTAATTCACAGAGAGAGAATCCCAAGCTCTTTGTCACTGTTGTCTGATGGGTCCTGCTGAAGCCAGCAGTGGGTGTAAAGTCCTCTCTGCCATTAACACTTCAGCCCTGTGGCCTGTGTGCTTGGCAGCTGCCTGCTCTGTAAATGAAACCAGAAGATGCTCGTGGTTTGGACAGCACTACGGTGGGACCACATGCTTGTTGGGCTACTAAAAGTGCAGTGGCTCTGACAAGTATTGTGTTGTGAGCCAAAAGAGCTTTGTCATACGCCCTCGCAAATATCTCCAAAATACAAGCTTTATGTTACAAAAGAAGACCAGGAGCTATGAGGTCAGCTGCATGTAGCTGAATTTGTAATGAGATAAACCTCTACATTTCAGTTACTGGTGCCAAAAGCGATCTGGGATAATTTAACAAAGAATAAAACCCTGCGGCACCTAAACATATTGTCTCCTGGCAAATCCGTAGTGGAGGGGGTGAATTGTGGTGCAATTGAAAAGCAAACTGTAAAGCTTAACTGTTTAAAAAAAAAGGATTAATTTAATTACAGCCGATACCTCAGCAGATTGCAAATTTGTTGTATTTTTTTTTATTGTGTTCATGTTTATCACTGGCAAAAATGTTTGTACAACACATGAATCTACCAAAAAAAGGCAAATATAATTCAGATTGAAATTAGTGCAATTTTTGGGAGCTGCCGGCCTGAATGTAGAACAGTGACGCACAATAGCTAACAAAACAAAATGACGCTCATCTTATAAGTCATGATTGTTCTACTCCCTGAGGCTCTCCTAAAATGATATGGTTGTACTTCAAGAAATAAATTGATTATGGTTTAGAAAAAAGAGCCTCTTTTGAGGCTTTGTTGAGTTTTCACGAGCAACAACAGCGTTGTCATCATCGGAGAGCGATATCTACAATTTATGTAAAAATGAATGATCTGATGAGTTATTGTTGTGGCTGAAAAGCCTCATAAGTCCTTACAGTGCTGTTGACAATTCATATCAACATGGCAACCTCTTCGCCAAAGTATTTTTCCTTAAATAAAAAAAACCCTCCATATTTTTTAATTATCTAAAGGCTCACAAACTAAAAAAATCATCCCCTTTGCATCAAAACATACTCCAAAATGATAAATGGATCTGAGTATAGAGGGGAAAAGGACGGAGAGCCTTTTCCGTTGCACTAGAATTTGAGGTTAAGATTCTTTGGACTGGGCCGGAACATTTTTCCACTCTAAAAGTGCACATTCTGCCCCCTCAGAAATAATCATTTGACCCAAAAAACAAAATCTCTCTGTATGCGTCTAGGGTCTGATGCTGAAACTGTGGATTTGTACTCACCACCAGATGGGATAGCCTCCAAGCACCCGTGAGCTGGACAACCACACACACATCAAATATCCAATCAGATACAAATCCATGAGGTAAGCCTTGTAGTGTGTGAGAGGGATCAATACATAGAACTTCCAGCAGGCAATGAAGAAGAGTTTCCAGGAAGAGAAGCTTGATGGTTGAATGATGGGAAGATTTAAGTGATATTGAGAAAAAAAGAAATCTTCCTCCTGTTTTCCCCCCTTCTTTGAGTCGGGCCAGGAAAGTGTGTCTGTCTCCTAGTAGTTAAGAGAATAAGTGTCTCTTACACACATGCACACACGCTCCTACCCGTCCTCTCCTTCCCTCCCTCTCTCTGAGGTTCTTCCCTAAGGTAGATATCTTTTTCTCTCTCTCTACTTTTTTCTCCCTGAGGATGCCTCATCCACAGGCCCAATATTAAAGGGGGGGAGAGGCGGGGGGAATGAGGTTTGGAGATGTCAGCTGGCAAGCCAATCACAGGAGATGGCCTTAGGTTACGAAAAAAAAATTATTATTCGTTCCCATCTGTCAATCACACGCCACCCCCTGGTAATGTGGAAAAGAAAGGAAAGAGTGAAAAGAGGGAGGGAGGGAGGGAAATGAGAGAGGGAGGGACACATGAAGAAAGGTAGAGCAGAGTTGTTACTCAACTTGTTTCATGTGTGATCATTGAAAAAAAATAGTGGCTGGAGGTGAAGAGATGCAGGCCAGTTTCTCTTTTTCTCTTCGATACGGGGTTTGACGTTCGTTCTGACACATTGATTTTTAGGGGTTGCGCCCTGACTAATTGATTCGGATATATATGCACACACACACACGCATAATCTCTGTCCGACTCACAGGGACATATACAGTGAATTTTCTAAATTGTTGTCCTCCCACCCCAACAGGGGGGGACATAAAAGGGGACACAATAAAGCCATAAACTGTGGTGGTGGCTGGGCCAGGCATGCAGGGTTATATGCTTCAGCGGCCCAAAGGCGACACATTTTACATCAATACTATTGTCATTCTGATGGGCTGCGGGGCGAGCAGCCGTGGGACGGGGGGGGGAGAGGATAGGGAGGCAGATAGAGTGAAGGAGGAGGGTGGGACACTTGTGATGGACTTAGCCTGAAGTGAGCATGCATTTGATTCACACACAAGGAAACTGATCAGGACGAATACAAACAAGATAGCCGGCAGAGATCAAAGAGAGCCAGACGTAGTGATAACAATCTTGAGAGTTTTGTCTCAAAGGATTAGCACTCATGGAAAGAATGACCACTAACAACCACTGCTGGAGACAGTTTGAAGCCAGTAATGAAGGGGTTCATCAGAATAAAGTTCATACATCACAGAACATAACTTTTGATGATCCGTGAGGCTCTGACACTTCTCTCACATCAGGATTATTCAGATGTATCGGCCAGTTTTCTACTAGTTTCTTTGCCCTTAAGAGACTTATGTCAGGGGTAGCAGAGAACTCTGCTTTTTGATTTCATTCATTCAATTTGCACTACACTTTAAGGCTTTTTAAACCACATATTTAAAACATGTGACACTCATTGGAAATACATTAACAAGTAACTAGACCAGATGGACTACCTGACCGATTTGTAGATTAAGTGTGTGCAGCCATGTGGAAGCCAGCCTTTGGGAGATCTGTTTCCAAGTGAGGAAAGTCATGATAAGTTCAGTAACATAGTAAGAGATGTTTTGTTGGTGTCATCCTGATTTAATATTGTAGCAACAAAAAAAAATGAATGAGATATTATTTGTTGACTTTCAGGAAACATTTCACCCGTACACAATTACAAACATTTGATACCTGTACACCTTTGCAACTGAAGGTTATTTGACTAATTCAGTTCAGTATGCTGTTAGAGTGACAGGTGACTCAAATATCGCACGTTCACTGTTGTTTTAACTGTTTCAGCAGTATTTATACTTGAAATAAAAAATATCCCCCTTGTCTGTCCCTCTGTTGTGTGTTGCCTGGGGGCCGCGATCTTTCTGCTGAGGATCTCCAGGGCGTGAGGGAGCCTCGGTGGACTGAGGGGGCTGGAAGGTCGCTCAGCAGGGGCTGGGAGCGTGCACTCTGCAGAGAGGAGGCTGAGTGCCCACCGTGGGGAGAGGGCTCAGTGACCACAGTCTGGAGGTCAGTAGTGGAGGGCCCCCCTTCAACCGCCCCTTCTGTGTTTTATTCCTCCGTAACAAAGAAGATAGGGAAACAGGCAGTGAGTGAGCAGCACTCGACCTACCGCCCTGTTTGAGAGGGGAGGGGGGGGGGGTCCTCCGAGCCTCTAAATGTGACAATAATTGATCGATATCTTTGTGGAGCTCCTATGAAGCCTGCACTGTTGCCAGTCGTGGTGGGGAGTCTTCTGCATTATACCAATAAAGATGGCTTTTCTATGCCTCGAGTCAAGATGTCATCGCGGTGCTGACAATGAGGCAGGTCTGTTTCCCATCATAAACATTGTCATGTGTTACAGCATCGCCAGAAATGTGCCGAGCTCAGCTCTGGGATTTGGACGACACTTGCTCTGCAGGAGCTATAGACGGTGCGCAGGGCCAGGGATGGATGGGGGGGAATGTGACATTGGTCTAATTTATGAGCACAGGCAGAGGAATCAGTCTGCGGTCTACATCGGAGCAACATTGAAACCACGTTTCCCAGGTCGAGGCCACAAGTGCAACACAAACTGTCTGGAAAGTCAACAGCAATTAAAGGGATAGTTGGGATGTTTTTGTGGGGTTGAATGGGATACAATCCATTGATGGTGGTCACAGACAGGTGAACCAACATCGAAGGAAAGCAATGTACTTTATTGCTGTGGAGGGGAACAGCACCAGCAACATTACCTTTCTAAAGAAAACCCCACCAACAAAACATCTATACTGGTTTAACTTTACGCTATATTTCTTATATTGACATCACTTTAGCTTGCTGCGACTGTCCTTTCTAATGGGAACTTAAGCAGTTTAATTTGCTCTCTTTAATGCAACCAAACTCAGTTGACACATACAGTAATTTAACAACACAAAACACAGGAGTTGCTGGTCTACTGGTGCCTGGACCGGTTAGTTTGACTGTGACTGGTTTGGGTTTTCAATGGAATGTGGTGGCTTTGGAAAGGCTGTCTGACAGCGTAAAACTGTACAAATATTCAAAATATTGAATGCACTTAACTTTTTTGTCTTTACTGGGCCTTTCTTTTAGGTGTCTAAAATACGCTTGGCTGCGCCCCCCTCCACAGCTGTACATTGTGTGCTAACTCTGCTGACCACTATCTACTGTAGGTAAAACACTGACTATAAGTAACTCATACAACCCCACTTAAAAACATCCAAACTATCCATTTCAGTTGTGAACTCCAGGGACTGATCCTAAAATGAACAGTCCTCAACAACACTTGTTGTGTTTTGTACAAACCTCTGCAAGTGAAGGCCTTGTTCTGTGTGTCTGCATCAGTAGGTGTACAGGGGGGGGCACTGCGCACCCCTACTGAGCTGGTTTCTACGGTTACCTGAGAAAAGGCCGTAACCAGGTCCGGCTCTTTCTCAGGCCTAATCAGCGTATTACCACAAAGAAGGACATGTGTTTGCCCCCCCCACCACTCTACCCTCCCTACTCAATCCGACCAGCATGGCTGGACACAGGCAGCCAATAAAACCAGGATTAGGAGGGTATCTACACACACTGGGCTGTAGCGAAAAAGTTTCTGAACACGCCCAATCCCGCCCTGCTCCCTTCACAAACTTCTTTTCATTCTTCTCCGTCTCGTTCCCTCCATCTTTCACTTTATTTCACTTGCCTCCATGTTTATATCCTTCCTTTGCCTCTTCCTTTCAGAGCCCTCACCCTGTAAGCTCTTCACACAATAGGGCATCCAGAAATTACTCATTTTGCCGGAGCAGTTTGCAAATTCCCAATGCCTCTCCTATTATTCTCTGGATCCTGTGGGTTTCTATTTGTTGCTGCTATGATAATGAAATGTGCTCCATCACAATGACAAAGCTGTTCATCTGTTTGGCTGCGTTTATGAGTTGCATTTATTTAAATGTACGCTCCTTTACATATTTTTGCATGAATTCCCGCTTCTGGCAAATTTAAATCTCCCATTCTAATTGCATGACCACGAACCAGATTTTCATTTGGCTCCATCTGTGAAGTAATTGCCTGATAAATGAATACCAGATAATCATAATGACCCAGTGTGCTATGTGCTCCGTCTGCACAGGAAGTGCATCGTGTTTAATGTCATGATTTGTCTGGAGAGAATTTGGAAGTCATGCGGTAGCAGAGGGACTGCTGCCTCACCTCAGCATCCTCGCTAATGTGTCCTGGAAATGGGAGAGTGTTAGGGATAATATCAACGCCTTTGTCAGGACTTTTTAAGACGGGGGACAAAGACGACAAGAGCTGTTCCCCCCCAAATAAACCTTTTTCATTAGAGCAGCAAACACTTCATCCCTGCGCTGTGTGAGGGAAGCTGTATGAGCCGCTCAGCGAGGTCCCACAGGGAAGAGCCTAAAACCCTCAGCGGTCTTCAGCCGGACACTGAGGCGGCCTAATTAAAGGGCACTTAAGCCCCACAATGTGCGGCGGTGCAGGTTGGAGGTGGTGGGGGTCCCCGCCGAGAGGGACAGAATTCATGGCACTCGTAAACAAGGGAGTCCAGGACAGAGGGACAGAAGAGGGCTATGTGCCAGAGACTTTGTTCACACAAGATGAAGAGTCAACAGCCTTCCCCATCCCTCACCCCTCCTTAGCCATCCCCCCTAATAACCACCTTCTTCAGAGGAGCTGCGAACACAATGCCGTCCCACTCCCCTCCTCTTGCTCTCAATCACTGTTGGGACAATGAGGGGGACCCCCCCAACCCCAACCCACCACCATCCTTCTGCCCCTCCCCGACCCCCAAACAGACACTTCTTTTATTGAAATTCTTTGGTGTTCTAATCCTCAGCTTCCTCCAGGGGCAATAATGGACTCCCTGCGTCAGCCTTTTCCAGCGGGGCTATCATCCAAGTCTGCCTGGGTCACAAGTCCACTGTCCTGTTGGAGAGACCTGCCTGGCCC